TGACTGGACTGGGACTGCTGACTCTGCACGGTGGACTTCCACCACTTGCCCACTTGCCTCGACCTACAGTGGGCTGCCTCCGAAAGGCCACTTCTAGAAGTATCTACTTGGCCTTTCGGTGCTGTAGCAGCTACGACCTTGACCCTTTCAGGTAAGTAGCCGCCACGACTTTGACCTTTCGGAAAGTCTACAGCTAAGACCTCTAGACTCTTTAGACTCCTACCCGACAGGTCTACGGTTCGAATCCCCTATACCCTGTAACCTACGATAACCTACCTACCACTGGCAGTCCTACACGTCGCGGGTTCAACTCTACGGGTTGACACACGTACTGTACACAGGTAAGGTGGGGAACTAGGGATCGAGCCCTGGGATCTGCATCAGCTACTGCAAACTGGTGAATACCGTTTCAGCACTTTGGGAATGACCAGGATCATAACAATTGGTATCGGAGCGGACTTACTTGCTGGCGAGAGGAGTTAGTCACCCTAAACCTAATTCCGAATTAGGTTAGGGCTAACCTAATCTCGGATTAGGGTTGGAGGTTAGGGTTAAGAGGGGCAGTGAGGTATGTGGATGCTGCCCCCACCTGGTTAGGTCATGTAGGGTCGACATCAGACCTGACCAGGTTGCTTGTGTGATTGAATGGGGTGGCGGGACACAAAGGAGGCTGATTGGAGTAAGCGAGAGGGCGTAGAGAGTGAGAGGTGCTCGCATCTGGAATATGCACTTCAAGAAGACATTGAGTGACTTTTGGGCTTCCCCTCAAGAGGGAGACTTGATCGGAGGCTTCCATATCTGCATCGAAGAGCTGCAAGTTGCTACTTTGGTCTTCAACATCGACGGAGGATCTGGCGTTGTAACAGGGGCGTAGGGAGGCCCTCTTAGTCATGTTAGGACACTTCGTGTAGTTGTAGCTTGGGGTCAGGAGGACCTATGAGAAAGGGGGGTGAGTCGTTATCCATCTTTGGAGGCTGGGCCTCACAGGTAAGTGCCGTGTGACCTGGGTATGCCCATGGGTGGTTGCTTGGTGCTTCATGGCCTGTTGGGGTGTGCTGGGCTCTCTTCCTCTTCTCTGTGGTCTTGGTTGTGTGTGTGAGCATGTGGATTGCTTTCTCACCTGATGGATGGATGGATGATGTATCCTGTTCTCAAGGACATATCTTTCTACCATGGTAACGGACCGGACGTCCGGACCGGTTTCCAGACACCCCCAAACATTATGTAGGGGTCCGGTGTCCGATCCTGGATGTCCAGAACCGGGGCCCCCAACGAAAAATCAGAAAAAAAAAAGGGGCCGCCAAAGACATTTTTCGGGTCCTCGGCGGCCCCGGAAAAATACTGGGCCGATTTTTGTGTGTCTTTTCGCCCTACCGGACATCGGGCAAAGGCCGGACCCACCACAGTCTGTGCAGACTCAGGTGGGGTGGCGGGAGGCAGGGCCAGCACTTCAAACTGGCCGTTTTTGAATCTCGCGGGCGCGCTGTTCGGAAGCCGCCAGCTGCTGCCCGTCACGTCCCCCTTGCAGCCCCGCAGCCATCCACGAGGAAGCCGCCATCGCCGACGAAACAGCCAGCCGCCGCCAACGTCCAAGAAGCAGGTCTCTCTCTCTCTCTCTCTCTCTCT